TTATGGTAGTAGTAGTAGTAGTAGTTATGGTAGTAGTAGTAGTAGTAGTTATGGTAGTAGTAGTAGTACTTATGGTAGTAGTAGTAGTAGTTATGGTAGTAGTAGTAGTAGTAGTAATATTTATGGTAGTAGTAGTAGTACTTATGGTAGGAGTAGTAGTAGTTATGGTAGTAGTAGTAGTAGTAGTTATGGTAGTAGAAGTAGTAGTAGTTATGGTAGTAGTAGTAGTAGTACTTATGGTAGTAGTAGTAGTAGTAGTTATGGCAGTAGTAGTAGTATTTATGGTAGTAGTAGTAGAAGTTATGGTAGTAGTAGTAGTAGTAATTATGATAGTAGTAGTAGTACTTATGGTAGTAGTAGTAGTAGTTATGGTAGGAGTAGTAGTATTTATTGTAGTAGTATTAGTACTTATGGTAGTAGTAGTAGTAGATATGTTAGTAGTAGTAGTAGTTATGGTAGTAGTAGTAGTAGTAGTTATGGTAGTAGTAGTAGTAGTAGTTATGGTAGTAGTATTAGTAGTAGTAGTAGTATTTATGGTAGTAGTAGTAGTACTTATGGTAGTAGTAGTAGTAGTTATGGTAGTAGTAGTAGTAGTAGTTATGGTAGTAGTAGTTAGTAGTTATGGTAGTAGTAGTAGTAGTAGTTATGGTAGTAGTAGTAGTAGTAGTTATGGTAGTAGTAGTAGTAGTAGTAGTTATGGTAGTAGTAGTAGTAGTAGTTATGGTAGTAGTAGTAGTAGTAGTTATGGTAGTAGTAGTAGTAGTAGTTATGGTAGTAGTAGTAGTAGTAGTAGTATTTATTGTAGTAGTAGTAGTAGTTATGGTAGTAGTAGTAGTAGTAGTTATGGTAGTAGTAGTAGTAGTAGTTATGGTAGTAGTAGTAGTAGTAGTAGTTATGGTAGTAGTAGTAGTAGTAGTTATGGTAGTAGTAGTAGTAGTAGTTATGGTAGTAGTAGTAGTAGTAGTTATGGTAGTAGTAGTAGTAGTAGTAGTAGTTATGGTAGTAGTCGTAGTAGTAGTTATGGTAGTAGTAGTAGTAGTAGTTATGTTAGTAGTAGTAGTAGTATTTATGGTATGTAGTAGTAGTAGTTATGGTAGTAGTAGTAGTAGTAGTTATGGTAGTAGTAGTAGTAGTAGTATTTATTGTAGTAGTAGTAGTAATAATGGTAGTAGTAGTAGTAGTTATGGTAGTAGTAGTAGTAGTAGTAGTAGTAGTTATGGTAGTAGTAGTAGTAGTAGTTATGGTAGTAGTAGTAGTAGTTATGGTAGTAGTAGTAGTAGTAGTTATGGTAGTAGTAGTAGTAGTAGTAGTAGTTATGGTAGTAGTAGTAGTAGTAGTTATGGTAGTAGTAGTAGTTATGGTAGTAGTAGTAGTAGTAGTAGTTATGGTAGTAGTAGTAGTAGTAGTTATGGTAGTAGTAGTAGTAGTAGTTATGTTAGTAGTAGTAGTAGTATTTATGGTAGTAGTAGTAGTTATGGTAGTAGTAGTAGCAATAGAATTAGTAGTAGTAGTTATGGTAGTAGTAGTAGTAGTAGTATTTATTGTAGTAGTAGTAGTAATAATGGTAGTAGTAGTAGTAGTTATGGTAGTAGTAGTAGTAGTAGTAGTAGTAGTATTTATGGTAGTAGTAGTAGTAGTAGTTATGGTAGTAGTAGTAGTAGTATTTATGGTAGTAGTAGTAGTAATTATGGTAGTAGTAGTAGTACTTATGGTAGTAGTAGTAGTAGTTATGGTAGTAGTAGTAGTAGTAGTAGTATTCATTCTAGTAGAATTAGTACCTATGGTAGTAGTAGTAGTAGTAGTTATGGTAGTAGTAGTAGTAGTAGTAGTTATAGTAGTAGTAGTAGTAGTAGTAGTTATGGTAGAAGTATTGGTAGTTATGGTAGTAGTAGTAGTAGTAGTTATGGTAGTAGTAGTAGTAGTAGTTATGGTAGTAGTAGTAGTAGTAGTAGTTATGGTAGTAGTAGTAGTAGTAGTTATGGTAGTATTAGTAGTAGTAGTTATGGTAGTAGTAGTAGTAGTAGTTATGGTAGTAGTAGTAGTAGTAGTTATGGTAGTAGTAGTAGTAGTAGTAGTAGTAGTATTTATGGTAGAAGTAGTAGTAGTAGTTATGGTAGTAGTAGTAGTAGTAGTGGAATTAGTAGTAGTGGTAGTAGTAGTGGTCGTAGTAGTAGTAGTAGTAGTATTTATTGTAGCAGTAGTAGTACTTATGGTAGTAGTAGTAGTAGTAGTTATGGTAGTAGTAGTAGTAGTAGTAGTTATGGTAGTAGTAGTAGTACTTATGGTAGTAGTAGAAGTAGTTAGGGTAGTAGTAGTAGTAGTAGTAGTATTTATTGTAGTAGTAGTAGTAGTTATGGTAGTAGTAGTAGTAGTAGTTATGGTAGTAGTAGTAGTAGTAGTTATGGTAGTAGTAGTAGTAGTACTTATGGTAGTAGTAGTATCAGTAGTTATGGTAGTAGTAGTAGTAGAAGTTATGGTAGTAGTATTGGTAGTTATGGTAGTAGTGGTAGTAGTAGTTATGGTAGTAGTAGTAGTAGTAGTAGTTATGGTAGTAGTAGTAGTAGTAGTTATGGTAGTAGTAGTAGTAGTAGTTATGTTAGTAGTCGTAGTAGTAGTTATGGTAGTAGTAGTAGTAGTAGTTATGGTAGTAGTAGTAGTAGTAGTAGTAGTAGTAGTATTTATGGTATTAGTAGTAGTAGTAGTTATGGTAGTAGTAGTAGTAATAGAATTAGTAGTAGTAGTAGTTATGGTAGTAGTAGTAGTAGTAGTAGTAGTATTTATTGTAGTAGTAGTAGTACTTATGGTAGTAGTAGTAGTAGTTATGGTAGTAGTAGTAGTAGTAGTAGTATTTATGGTAGTAGTAGTAGTAGTAGTAGTTATGGTAGTAGTAGTAGTAGTAGTTATGGTAGTAGTAGTAGTAGTAGTTATGGTAGTAGTATTAGTATTATGGTAGTAGTAGTAGTTATGGTAGTAGTAGTAGTAGTAGTTATGGTAGTAGTATTGGTAGTTATGGTAGTAGTAGTAGTAGTAGTTATGGTAGTAGTAGTAGTAGTATTTATGGTAGTAGTAGTAGTAGTAGTTATGGTAGTAGTAGTAGTAGTAGTTATGGTAGTAGTATTGGTAGTTATGGTAGTAGTAGTAGTAGTAGTTATTGTAGTAGTAGTAGTAGTAGTTATTGTAGTAGTAGTAGTAGTAGTATTAGTAGTAGTAGTTATGGTAGTAGTAGTAGTAGTAGTTATGGTAGTAGTAGTAGTAGTAGTTATGGTAGTAGTTATTGTAGTAGTAGTAGTAGTAGTAGTAGTTATGGTAGTAGTAGTAATAGCAGTAGTATTAGTTATTGTAGTAGTAGTAGTAGAAGTAATTATTGCAGTAGTAGCAGTGGAAGTTAATGTAGTAGTAGTAGAAGTAGCAGTTATTGTGGTAGTAGTAGTAGTAGCAGTAGTAGTAGTAGTATTAGTAGTAGTAGTAGTAGTAGTAGTAGTAGTAGTAGTAGTAGTAGTAGTAGTAGTAGTAGTAGTAGTAGTAGTAGTAGTAGTAGTAGTAGTAGTAGTAGTAGTAGTAGTAGTGGTAGTAGCAGTGGTATACACATAAATGTGGTGTATGATTGGTCTATTGGAACGAATAAAATTAGTAGTTTTTATCACAGGTGTGATGTGATGTGATAGCAGTACTAGGTAAATATAACTGAACCACCCGACACCCACCCTGGTAGGGAGAGAGAGAGGGAGGGAGGGAGGAGAAGGAAAATAAGAACTATACATTAATAGGATGGATGATAATAGAACAAGTAATTTAACTGCAGTTGTAAGCAAATGTCGTTGTTATAAATTAACCTATAAAGTCATACTACTTACTAATGGCAAGTAGTATAATGTTGAACAAAGGAAAGATTGAGAATGAACAGGTAGGAAAGGAATTAACACCGTATGTGTCAGAAACTTAGCGCGTTCGTCACAAAAAGCATTTCAAGCAGGTGAGTGCAAACAGTTATCAGCGAACCTACTGCCAGATAAATACTTGTAAAAAAACGAGAGAAAATGGATCCGACACACGCAAAGGAAATTATACCGGACTGGCCCTCGTGTGGAACCCGATTAGTTTGCCGTGTATCTGAGGTTGACTTGGAGGAGACTGTTTGTGCTTGCAGAAGACAAGTGTGCTTATTGACAAGCATAAGGCCAGATAAAGACAAGTGTAGAGAACAGGACAAAGTGGAGATGTTCAGATGAAACCTTTAGCTGTACTCGGAACCCAAAGGAACAATTATAATGATTTTAATAAACATACTTGAAAGAATCTAATATTTTATGAAATGTTGTAAATTATATCTGCGTAATGATACCACCTATGTAAATGCCTTCTGGCAGGATAATACTTCTTCACTGATATAATGACCAAACGAATTCAGAAGCATTTCATGTTGAATGATGGTTCTAAGTGTTGTTGAAATTTTGGATTTCATATCATACAGTCAAATGAAAAATTAATGACTAAGTGAACTAATTTGAATTTTTGTTTTCTCTGGGACTGATGGTTTCATTGGTTGGAGGGTTTCATCATTGGAAAACCACCTGAGAGTACTGGACAGCTATTTCGTCTTAGTTTAGGACTGCTCGCAGTACGCACCCACCACGGGGATTCGAACCCAGGACCTTCGGGTGACAAGACCAACGACCTCGTAGACTAACTAACTACTAAGCCATCGCTGTACCCTACTTACTGGTCACGACTTCCCACTAAAACCCCAGGTAACTGCCTGAATAGGACCAGTCGCTAGTGAGCATCAGATAAGTTTCCAAGTAATGGAAATCCTCCAACCAATAAAAAAATCACTACAATAACCAATACTTCAAGACTGATGCTTTAGTCACAGAGCTTTAAACATTCTCCTAGAAAAAAAAAACGACTGCGCTAATTTCAGTTGAAGTCGGCTATTCGAATATCATCACTCCCAATGAAAACTCTGTCTCTGAAAGTTAATTCGCCTGTGATTCATTGCCTCAAGAGTTCTCAATACTTATTATATTCAACTGCAAAAGACTCCATTGTAGCACTGTAGTAGTAGTAGTAGTTATGGTAGTAGTAGTAGTAGTAGTAGTAGTAGTGGTAGTAGTAGTTATGGTAGTAGTAGTAGTTATGGTAGTAGTAGTAGTAGTAGTTATGGTAGTAGTAGTAGTAGTTATGGTAGTAGTAGTAGTAGTAGTAGTAGTTATGGTAGTAGTAGTAGCAGTAGTTATGGTAGTAGTAGTAGTAGTAGTAGTTATGTTAGTAGTAGTAGTAGTAGTAGTTATGGAAGTAGTAATAGTAGTAGTTATGGTAGTAGTAGTAGTAGTAGTTATGGTAGTAGTAGTAGTATTTATGGTAGTAGTAGTAGTAGTTATGGTAGTAGTAGTAGTAGTAGTAATATTTATGGTAGTAGTAGTAGTACTTATGGTAGGAGTAGTAGTAGTTATGGTAGTAGTAGTAGTAGTAGTTATGGTAGTAGTAGTAGTAGTAGTTATGGTAGTAGTAGTAGTAGTAGTAGTTATGGTAGTAGTAGTAGTAGTAGTTATGGTAGTAGTAGTATTTATGGTAGTAGTAGTAGAAGTTATGGTAGTAGTAGTAGTAGTAATTATGATAGTAGTAGTAGTACTTATGGTAGTAGTAGTAGTAGTTATGGTAGGAGTAGTAGTATTTATTGTAGTAGAATTAGTACTTATGGTAGTAGTAGTAGTAGATATGTTAGAAGTAGTAGTAGTTATGGTAGTAGTAGTAGTAGTAGTTATGGTAGTAGTAGTAGTAGTAGTTATGGTAGTAGTATTAGTAGTAGTAGTAGTATTTATGGTAGTAGTAGTAGTACTTATGGTAGTAGTAGTAGTAGTTATGGTAGTAGTAGTAGTAGTAGTTATGGTAGTAGTAGTAGTAGTAGTTATGGTAGTAGTAGTAGTAGTAGTTATGGTAGTAGTAGTAGTAGTAGTTATGGTAGTAGTAGTAGTAGTTATGGTAGTAGTAGTAGTAGTAGTAGTAGTTATGGTAGTAGTAGTAGTAGTAGTTATGGTAGTAGTAGTAGTAGTAGTATTTATTGTAGTAGTAGTAGCAGTTATGGTAGTAGTAGTAGTAGTTATGGTAGTAGTAGTAGTAGTAGTTATGGTAGTAGTAGTAGTAGTAGTAGTTATGGTAGTAGTAGTAGTAGTAGTTATGGTAGTAGTAGTAGTAGTAGTTATGGTAGTAGTATTGGTAGTTATGGTAGTAGTAGTAGTAGTAGTTATGGTAGTAGTAGTAGTAGTAGTTATGGTAGTAGTAGTAGTAGTAGTTATGGTAGTAGTAGTAGTAGTAGTTATGGTAGTAGTAGTAGTAGTAGTAGTTATGGTAGTAGTAGTAGTAGTAGTTATGGTAGTAGTAGTAGTATTTATGGTAGTAGTAGTAGTAGTTATGGTAGTAGTAGTAGTAGTAATTATGGTAGTAGTAGTAGTACTTATGGTAGTAGTAGTAGTAGTTATGGTAGGAGTAGTAGTATTTATTGTAGTAGTATTAGTACTTATGGTAGTAGTAGTAGTAGATATGTTAGTAGTAGTAGTAGTTATGGTAGTAGTAGTAGTAGTAGTTATGGTAGAAGTAGTAGTAGTAGTTATGGTAGTAATATTAGTAGTAGTAGTAGTATTTATGATAGTAGTAGTAGTACTTATGGTAGTAGTAGTAGTAGTTATGGTAGTAGTAGTAGTAGTAGTTATGGTAGTAGTAGTTTTAGTAGTTATGGTAGTAGTAGTAGTAGTATTTATGGTATTGGTAGTAGTAGTAGTTATGGTAGTAGTAGTAGTAGTTATGGTAGTAGTAGTAGTAGTAGTAGTAGTTATGGTAGTAGTAGTAGTAGTAGTTATGGTAGTAGTAGTAGTAGTAGTATTTATTGTAGTAGTAGTAGTAGTTATGGTAGTAGTAGTAGTAGTTATGGTAGTAGTAGTAGTAGTAGTTATGGTAGTAGTAGTAGTAGTAGTAGTTATGGTAGTAGTAGTAGTAGTAGTTATGGTAGTAGTAGTAGTAGTAGTTATGGTAGTAGTATTGGTAGTTATGGTAGTAGTAGTAGTAGTAGTAGTTATGGTAGTAGTAGTAGTAGTAGTTATGGTAGTAGTAGTAGTAGTAGTTATGGTAGTAGTAGTAGTAGTAGTAGTTATGGTAGTAGTCGTAGTAGTAGTTATGGTAGTAGTAGTAGTAGTAGTTATGTTAGTAGTAGTAGTAGTATTTATGGTATTGGTAGTAGTAGTAGTTATGGTAGTAGTAGTAGCAATAGAATTAGTAGTAGTAGTTATGGTAGTAGTAGTAGTAGTATTTATGGTAGTAGTAGTAGTAGTAGTTATGGTAGTAGTAGTAGTAGTAGTAGTAGTTATGGTAGTAGTAGTAGTAGTAGTAGTAGTTATGGTAGTAGTAGTAGTAGTAGTTATGGTAGAAGTATTGGTAGTTATGGTAGTAGTAGTAGTAGTAGTTATGGTAGTAGTAGTAGTAGTAGTTATGGTAGTAGTAGTAGTAGTAGTTATGGTAGTAGTAGTAGTAGTAGTAGTAGTAGTATTTATGGTAGTAGTAGTAGTAGTAGTTATGGTAGTAGTAGTAGTAGTAGTTATGGTAGTAGTAGTAGTAGTAGTTATGGTAGTAGTAGTAGTAGTAGTAGTAGTAGTATTTATGGTAGTAGTAGTAGTAGTAGTTATGGTAGTAGTAGTAGTAGTAGTGGAATTAGTAGTAGTGGTAGTAGTAGTGGTCGTAGTAGTAGTAGTAGTAGTATTTATTGTAGCAGTAGTAGTACTTATGGTAGTAGTAGTAGTAGTAGTTATGGTAGTAGTAGTAGTAGTAGTAGTTATGGTAGTAGTAGTAGTACTTATGGTAGTAGTAGTAGTAGTTATGGTAGTAGTAGTAGTAGTAGTAGTATTTATTGTAGTAGTAGTAGTAGTTATGGTAGTAGTAGTAGTAGTAGTTATGGTAGTAGTAGTAGTAGTAGTTATGGTAGTAGTAGTAGTAGTACTTATGGTAGTAGTAGTAGTATTAGTAGTTATGGTAGTAGTAGTAGTAGTAGTTATGGTAGTAGTATTGGTAGTTATGGTAGTAGTGGTAGTAGTAGTTATGGTAGTAGTAGTAGTAGTAGTAGTTATGGTAGTAGTAGTAGTAGTAGTTATGGTAGTAGTGGTAGTAGTAGTTATGTTAGTAGTCGTAGTAGTAGTTACGGTAGTAGTAGTAGTAGTAGTTATGGTAGTAGTAGTAGTAGTAGTAGTAGTAGTAGTAGTAGTATTTATGGTATTAGTAGTAGTAGTAGTTATGGTAGTAGTAGTAGTAATAGAATTAGTAGTAGTAGTAGTTATGGTAGTAGTAGTAATAGTGGTAGTATTTATTGTAGTAGTAGTAGAACTTATGGTAGTAGTAGTAGTAGTTATGGTAGTAGTAGTAGTAGTAGTATTTATGGTAGTAGTAGTAGTAGTAGTTATGGTAGTAGTAGTAGTAGTAGTTATGGTAGTAGTAGTAGTAGTAGTTATGGTAGTAGTAGTAGTACTTATGGTAGTAGTAGTAGTTATGGTAGTAGTAGTAGTAGTAGTTATGGTAGTAGTATTGGTAGTTATGGTAGTAGTAGTAGTAGTAGTTATGGTAGTAGTAGTAGTAGTATTTATGGTAGTAGTAGTAGTAGTAGTTATGGTAGTAGTAGTAGTAGTAGTTATGGTAGTAGCAGTAGAAGTAGTAGTTATGGTAGTAGTAGCAGTAGTAGTTATGGTAGTAGTAGTAGTAGTAGTTATGGTAGTAGTATTGGTAGTTATGGTAGTAGTAGTAGTAGTAGTAGTATTTATGGTAGTAGTAGTAGTACTTATGGTAGTAGTAGTAGTAGTTATGGTAGTAGTAGTAGTAGTAGTAGTAGTTATGGTAGTAGTAGTAGTAGTAGTTTTGGTAGTAGTAGTAGTAGTAGTTATGGTAGTAGTAGTATTAGTAGTAGTAGTAGTATTTATGGTATTAGTAGTAGTAGTATTTATGGTAGTAGTAGTAGTAATAGAATTAGTAGTAGTAGTAGTTATGGTAGTAGTAGTAGTAGTAGTTATGGTAGTAGTAGTAGTATTAGTAGTAGTAGTAGTAGTAGTAGTAGTAGTAGTTATGGTAGTAGTAGTAGTAGTAGTTATGGTAGTAGTATTGGTAGTTATGGTAGTAGTAGTAGTAGTAGTTATTGTAGTAGTAGTAGTAGTAGTTATTGTAGTAGTAGTAGTAGTAGTATTAGTAGTAGTAGTTATGGTAGTAGTCGTAGTAGTAGTTATGGTAGTAGTCGTAGTAGTAGTTATGGTAGTAGTTATTGTAGTAGTAGTAGTAGTAGTAGTAGTTATGGTAGTAGTAGTAATAGCAGTAGTATTAGTTATTGTAGTAGTAGTAGTAGAAGTAATTATTGCAGTAGTAGCAGTGGAAGTTAATGTAGTAGTAGTAGAAGTAGCAGTTATTGTGGTAGTAGTAGTAGTAGCAGTAGTAGTAGTAGTATTAGTAGTAGTAGTAGTAGTAGTAGTAGTAGTAGTAGTAGTAGTAGTAGTAGTAGTAGTAGTAGTAGTAGTAGTAGTAGTAGTAGTAGTAGTAGTAGTAGTAGTAGTAGTAGTAGTAGTAGTAGTAGTAGTAGTAGTAGTGGTAGTAGCAGTGGTATACACATAAATGTGGTGTATGATTGGTCTATTGGAACGAATAAAATTAGTAGTTTTTATCACAGGTGTGATGTGATGTGATAGCAGTACTAGGTAAATATAACTGAACCACCCGACACCCACCCTGGTAGGGAGAGAGAGAGGGAGGGAGGGAGGAGAAGGAAAATAAGAACTATACATTAATAGGATGGATGATAATAGAACAAGTAATTTAACTGCAGTTGTAAGCAAATGTCGTTGTTATAAATTAACATATAAAGTCATACTACTTACTAATGGCAAGTAGTATAATGTTGAACAAAGGAAAGATTGAGAATGAACAGGTAGGAAAGGAATTAACACCGTATGTGTCAGAAACTTAGCGCGTTCGTCACAAAAAGCATTTCAAGCAGGTGAGTGCAAACAGTTATCAGCGAACCTACTGCCAGATAAATACTTGTAAAAAAACGAGAGAAAATGGATCCGACACACGCAAAGGAAATTATACGGGACTGGCCCTCGTGTGGAACCCGATTAGTTTGCCGTGTATCTGAGGTTGACTTGGAGGAGACTGTTTGTGCTTGCAGAAGACAAGTGTGCTTATTGACAAGCATAAGGCCAGATAAAGACAAGTGTAGAGAACAGGACAAAGTGGAGATGTTCAGATGAAACCTTTAGCTGTACTCGGAACCCAAAGGAACAATTATAATGATTTTAATAAACATACTTGAAAGAATCTAATATTTTATGAAATGTTGTAAATTATATCTGCGTAATGATACCACCTATGTAAATGCCTTCTGGCAGGATAATACTTCTTCACTGATATAATGACCAAACGAATTCAGAAGCATTTCATGTTGAATGATGGTTCTAAGTGTTGTTGAAATTTTGGATTTCATATCATACAGTCAAATGAAAAATTAATGACTAAGTGAACTAATTTGAATTTTTGTTTTCTCTGGGACTGATGGTTTCATTGGTTGGAGGGTTTCATCATTGGAAAACCACCTGAGAGTACTGGACAGCTATTTCGTCCTAGTTTAGGACTGCTCGCAGTACGCACCCACCACGGGGATTCGAACCCAGGACCTTCGGGTGACAAGACCAACGACCTCGTAGACTAACTAACTACTAAGCCATCGCTGTACCCTACTTACTGGTCACGACTTCCCACTAAAACCCCAGGTAACTGCCTGAATAGGACCAGTCGCTAGTGAGCATCAGATAAGTTTCCAAGTAATGGAAATCCTCCAACCAATAAAAAAAATCACTACAATAACCAATACTTCAAGACTGATGCTTTAGTCACAGAGCTTTAAACATTCTCCTAGAAAAAAAAAACGACTGCGCTAATTTCAGTTGAAGTCGGCTATTCGAATATCATCACTCCCAATGAAAACTCTGTCTCTGAAAGTTAATTCGCCTGTGATTCATTGCCTCAAGAGTTTTCAATACTTATTATATTCAACTGCAAAAGACTCCATTGTAGCACTGTAGTAGTAGTAGTAGTTATGGTAGTAGTAGTAGTAGTAGTAGTAGTAGTAGTAGTAGTAGTTATGGTAGTAGTAGTAGTTATGGTAGTAGTAGTAGTAGTAGTTATGGTAGTAGTAGTAGTAGTTATGGTAGTAGTAGTAGTAGTAGTAGTAGTTATGGTAGTAGTAGTAGTAGTAGTTATGGTAGTAGTAGTAGTAGTAGTAGTTATGTTAGTAGTAGTAGTAGTAGTAGTTATGGTAGTAGTAATAGTAGTAGTTATGGTAGCAGTAGTAGTAGTAGTTATGGTAGTAGTAGTAGTATTTATGGTAGTAGTAGTAGTAGTTATGGTAGTAGTAGTAGTAGTAGTAATATTTATGGTAGTAGTAGTAGTACTTATGGTAGGAGTAGTAGTAGTTATGGTAGTAGTAGTAGTGGTAGTTATGGTAGTAGAAGTAGTAGTAGTTATGGTAGTAGTAGTAGTAGTAGTAGTTATGGTAGTAGTAGTAGTAGTAGTTATGGTAGTAGTAGTATTTATGGTAGTAGTAGTAGAAGTTATGGTAGTAGTAGTAGTAGTAATTATGATAGTAGTAGTAGTACTTATGGTAGTAGTAGTAGTAGTTATGGTAGGAGTAGTAGTATTTATTGTAGTAGAATTAGTACTTATGGTAGTAGTAGTAGTAGATATGTTAGAAGTAGTAGTAGTTATGGTAGTAGTAGTAGTAGTAGTTATGGTAGTAGTAGTAGTAGTAGTTATGGTAGTAGTATTAGTAGTAGTAGTAGTATTTATGGTAGTAGTAGTAGTACTTATGGTAGTAGTAGTAGTAGTTATGGTAGTAGTAGTAGTAGTAGTTATGGTAGTAGTAGTAGTAGTAGTTATGGTAGTAGTAGTAGTAGTAGTTATGGTAGTAGTAGTAGTAGTAGTTATGGTAGTAGTAGTAGTAGTTATGGTAGTAGTAGTAGTAGTAGTAGTAGTTATGGTAGTAGTAGTAGTAGTAGTTATGGTAGTAGTAGTAGTAGTAGTATTTATTGTAGTAGTAGTAGTAGTTATGGTAGTAGTAGTAGTAGTTATGGTAGTAGTAGTAGTAGTAGTTATGGTAGTAGTAGTAGTAGTAGTAGTTATGGTAGTAGTAGTAGTAGTAGTTATGGTAGTAGTAGTAGTAGTAGTTATGGTAGTAGTATTGGTAGTTATGGTAGTAGTAGTAGTAGTAGTTATGGTAGTAGTAGTAGTAGTAGTTATGGTAGTAGTAGTAGTAGTAGTTATGGTAGTAGTAGTAGTAGTAGTTATGGTAGTAGTAGTAGTAGTAGTAGTTATGGTAGTAGTAGTAGTAGTAGTTATGGTAGTAGTAGTAGTATTTATGGTAGTAGTAGTAGTAGTTATGGTAGTAGTAGTAGTAGTAATTATGGTAGTAGTAGTAGTACTTA